GGGTGAAAGAGGTTTAAATGGCGGGGTGGGTGGGTTCGGGGTAGGATGAGCAGCCAATGGCTTAACTTCTCGGGGAGGAAGGGGCTGTTCCCAGCCCTAACCCGGAGGGTGGAATCCTTTCTATCTCCTCGCTCCGGTTGTCCGGCGGTCCTAGCAGCGAAGGGGGGAGGCGGGAAGCTCGGGAAGGTGTATGCACCCATCCCCCTCCGCGCCGCCGGTGCGGGCAGCGCGTGTGCAAGGCGGGCCGGGCCGCCGGGTCCCCGAGCGCCCGCTTCCCGTGCAGACCACGCCTGCATCGGGGCGCAGAACCGGCGCGGGCGGCCCTCTCCGCGTGCGGTTCCTAAATCGCTCCTGTCCGGGGTCCTGGAGAGTCCCCAGCGCCGGGGGTGGTGCCGCCCCCCCGCGGGCTTCCGCCCGGCGCTCTGTGACAAAGAGCTGGCTTGGGGGAGGGGAGGAGAGGCCGCAGCGCTCGCTCCCACCTCCCCCCACCCCTGCACGTGCAGAGGAACAATTTGTTTATCTTGGGCTTCAAGAATCCTTCCCTCCTCCGGGTTCTCCGAGGCCGCCCAGCCCCTCCTCTCTCCCCTCCCTCCTCTCCTTCCTGGGCGCGATCCTGCCCAGTCCCGCCCGCAGCACCTTCCTCCTCCCTTTCTTCCTCCCCTCCCCTCCCTCCTCCATCCCCTCTTGCCCGCCCTCCCCTCCCGGGAGGGGCGCTGCGCCGGGGGCCCTGCCCCTCCACCGCGCCGGAGTCGGCGCGCAGAGCCTGCCCGGAGCGCCCAGACCCGGCCGGTAGGGTTTTGAGGAAACGCGGCGATCCCCGAGTCTGGGAGGTTGGCTCTCGCTTTACAAACAGGAAGCGAAAACCACCGACACACGTAGCGCTTCTGATGGTGCCCGGAGGCGGGGCCGGTCCAGCCTCCTGGCTGCAGCCGGGGTCCCCTGGCAGCTGTTTCTCGCCTAGCACGCCGCGTACCCCAGCCCCCCGCGCCTTGGCGCCCTCCACCGGGAGGAGATCCGCTTTGAGAACCTGAGACCGAAGTATAGAATCTGAGACACTAGGATCTCAGCCTTGCCCACCCACGCCCTCCTTTCGCGTGTGTGTGTGTGTGTACACACCCCTCGCGTGCGGATTGCGTAGAAGTGAGCTGCTTTCGTGAGGCTCCCAAATTCCCTTTCCATAGGATCGCTCACCTGAGGGAGCCCTGGAACGCCTAGGCGCTTCCTTCGCAGGCTGGGACCCTCTGGAACAAAAGCCAGGGCCCAGCCCAGTGCCTGGTCCTTTTTGAATGCAGTCAAACAGTAGAGTTTGCGACCAGAAAGTTTCCTTGTTCGGGTTCTGTCCTCCCAGGTGCAATATGGGCCCTGGGGTGGGCCCACGGAGGATTTGGGGTGCACGCTCCTGGGTTGTAATGTCCCGCAGGTGGACCAAGCCAGAAATCCCAACCTTTCCTGGAAGAGGTCAGCTAGCCCAAGCAGCGCTCATTTTTGAAAATACAAAACGCTTTCTTGGGAAGATGGAGAGATTAGCTGTAAATTTCACAGGGAATCCCAATTCAGCAAGTTAGGAAACTTGAAAAGAATTACCTGAAGATTTTAAATCAACTTTGCAACAATAATTGAGCCTATTGATAGACACGTAAATGACAGGGTTGTCTATAGCTTCAACTGTTTCACATACGCCTCTTCCACAGATACCCATGGGAAGTACAGTGAAAATAAAGACTGAAATTTTAAGCAGAGTTGCTTGTAAACGCGAACCCCCCCCCCAATTAATATCCTCTTCAAGTTATATTTTCTTATCATTAGTTTTAAAATTCATTTTGTCTTCTGCAATGAAAGGGCACTTTAACTTGGCCTCTGTGTGAGAGAAAATCCTAAAAACAAGTGACAAAGAAAGTGATCTTCCCTCATTTTCTTGAACTCACTGCTGGATGGTAGTTGGACTCTGATGAGATACAGAGCGATTGCCTTTAGTTCTCAGATTGGGCACTGGGTTTGGAAAGTCCTAAAGAAGAACCACCCACCACAACCAAGTAATAATAAGCATGATGGTAAAAATGAAGATGACTAGGGTGCTTCTTTGATTGGTATTGTTTACCTTTTTAGGGCCAATGTGTTCAAAGGATTTAATATCAATTGCTTCTCTTTCTGCATGACTTGGGTCAAGAAGGCAGCCTAGGGAGTTAACGTAATGGCTATGTTGCTGAACTCCCATGTAGTCCACCGCACTTCGAGTCCCGGACCCCGTGGCTTAAACTTACGCCGGTCACATTACGTGCGTGCCCAAGATCCTGAGAGGAGAATGGAGGAGAAGGGATTGTGGCATGGCCATCTCCCTGGGATGGGGGTGATTTCTTACTTCCTGTTTCTCTGTGTCTCTCTGTCTTTCTGGGAAGCGCTCACGCCCTATAGCAAAACAAAACAAAACAAAAACAAAAACAAAAAAAAAGGACCTCTCCCAAAAAAAGAAGGCAGTTAAATGAGAACTTGCCGCCTTTGGATTTTTCTATTTTGTGCATTACAAGCAAAGGCATGAAAAACAAAAAGCAGAGTGGGTGAAGGGACATAGAACTCTTCCTTGGCTCCAGGCTGCTAAGTGGGACCTAGGCTTGGCAGGGATCCTCAGTAGCCTTGGTAGAGGAAGGAGCAAGAGGACTGATTTTGAAGCTGCACCACCTCAGGGGATACCTTTCCAGACATGATAGTCAGGGGAACCCCCCCCTCCCCGCACCTCCTCAGCAGCCATCACTTTCTACAGAAGATTTTCATCCCCCAAAGACTTGGTGGGAAATATGGACCTTGCTTATTAGAGTCTCCATTGTAAAAGTGTCCACCCCTAAAACCGTTTTACGGATTTGTTGTAACCAAAAGAGACATCATTCATTTGTTGTACAGGGGTCCTTGCCCTCCACCCTTATCCACAGAGGGTATGGTTCAAGACCCATAGTGGACGGCCAAAACTACAGATAGTACTGAACTCTCTGTGCTGTTTTTTCCCCTATATATTCACAGCAGTGATAAAGTTTAATGCATAAATTAGATGCAGTGAGAGATTAATAACAATAAGAATGAACTTAATTATAACAATCCAAGTTACGAAGGTGGTCTCTCTGTCAAAATATCTTACACCATGACCTGTGTTCATACTGCGATTGATCTTGGGGTAAAAGACAGTGGAAAGCAAAGCATAGATCAAATGTGGGGTACAATACTTGGAACTGAGGCCCTGGTTAACATCTTAAGATAAGTTTCAATAGGCAAGTTCATTTTCAAGGCCAAAGATAATCGGACTTAACCAGGGTCTAATCATGCAAGCATGTCACAAAACGTGACAGCACACCAGTTTCAAAATTTCAACATGGTGGTGGGTCCTACTTGACTGGAATAAGACCTAGATTATCTTAGGGACCTTTTTCACTGTGTGAGCACTGTCAGAACGTTCGAATATGCTTCATTTATATACAGCCTACAGACTGCATAAATCTGGGTGACCTCGGCTCTGAAGAGTTTAATCATATCAAATTCATTTGATCACAAATGTATTAATTACTGAGTATGCAAGACAACGGCAGCCTATCCAAAACGTTCCCATCCGTTCCTGGAGGAGATCCGGGACACAGCAACCTATTAGCCCGGTGTTAAACCTCCTTGTCATCCATTCTGGTTTTCCATTTCTTATCTGGCTGAAGGTAAATTACTGGCCGTGTATCCGGGTTTCTTGGCACACTTGTACCCACCAAGCCATTTCTAAACCTCTCCTATGATAACCTTTCCATTGGCTTATCCTGATTGGCTGCCATCATGGGTAATATTACAGACAGCTGTCTTTGGAAAAGTTTTCCATGGCTCAACAACGTGTGGCTTACGTTGTGAAAAACTTTTGGAAATTTCATTTCTCTGTCTTACATGGGTTGATCTTTTAATTCTCAAGCTTTGTTTTTTTTTTGGTTCGTTTGTTTAAGTTCAGTCCATATTTAAGTGTGCTATGTACTTTAGTGGTGATACATTTTATTTAGTGCTGGGCAGCTAGCAGTCA